TTTTTTTTTTTGCACTAGTTGTACCAGTTGCCAATTATTGGACATTTAAAATTGTTTTGTTTTTTCTATTTTTCTATTTTAAATAATTCATTGAATTACTGAAATTTTTAATTATTGGCAACTGAGTAGCCATTGTTGAAGGTAGGCAAAAGCCTATTGGAGCTGAAGTAAGGTAACTGGCCAGCAAGGTGAAGTGATTGCCTGTGAGGTCTTCACGTGCATAGGTGGTCGTCTTTTGTTTCTTTTTAAGGGTCCCAGAGAGACGTCACAGTCATACACAACTGGAAAGGTTGAGCCCTGTGTTATTAGAGAAAATCCAGTAACCCCAAATGGGCTGTGATATAGTAGAATAAATGGAAATCAATTATAGACCAACTTATGAGGACCTTTTCTGTCACCTTTTTGTTCCTGTGATAAATACGAAGCAATTGGCAATTAAAAACATTTTCCATTCACAGGTGGATTCCTCTTCTTTTTGAGAAAGAGTCTCCCTTTGTCACCCTTGGTAGAGTACTATGGTCATAGCTCACAGCAACTTCCAACTCCTGGGCTCAAGTGATTCTCTTGCCTCAGCCCCCCAAGTGTAGTCCCCCCCAAGGGACTACAGGCACCTGCCACAACGCCCGGCTATTTTTAGGGACACTCCTGCTCTTGCTCAGGCTGGTCTAGAACTCCCGAGCTTAGGCAATCCACCTGCCTTGGCCTCCCAGAGTGCTGGGATTACAGGTATGGGCCACCTAACCCAGCATTTTTTTAATTCTTGAAGTGTTACCCCTTAGGTTACACAAGCCATTGCCCCGTGGATAATAGTGTACTTATCACCTGCTCTTTCTTGCCAGGGATGCCATCTCCAACCACACTGAAGAAGTCTGAGAAGTCTGGTTTCAGCAGCCCCTCCCCGTCGCAGACCTCCTCCCTCGGAACGGCCTTCACACAGCATCACCGACCTGTCATCACAGGACCCAGAGGTGAGCTCCCCGCAGGACCCCTTGTTATGGCTTCTATCAGAGCCATCGGATCAGAGTAGCATAGTGAGGGGCAGTGAGCACAGAGTGAGCAGGGTGAGGGGCAGTGAGCACAGAGTGAGCGGGGTGAGGGGCAGTGAGCACAGAGTGAGCACAGAGTGAGGGGCAGTGAGCACAGAGTGAGGGGCAGTGAGCACAGAGTGAAGGGCAGTGAGCACAGAGTAGCA